ATTACGAATGGGACATAGTGATTTTTACAGATGTATTGTCAATCAAAATGAACTCGTCAATGAATCTAGAGATGGTAGTGTCTCGGTGCTAAGCATGGCGCGACTGCCGTGGCTCTTTTATGCGAGCCAGTTCAAAATTTCATCAAGAAACGTAATTTTCATCATTAATACATTATCACACAAAACGATTTTCCATTAGAATTTATTTCCAAAAATATAACGAGGACGATTAATATTAAGTATTAAATAAGGAAATTCCAAAATCGTTTGGTAATGACATTAATCGTGGTTCAAGTGATAACATAAAGTGATTTACTATACCGTATGTATATGGCATTTCAGAAAAATTCAGTAGCATTATCAATGGTGCAAATCAGAAAATATCGCATTTTTTAGCATTACTGTAAACTACGCAAATTTATCAAAATATATAAGGTTCCATGAATTAAAAAAGAACGTGGCGTATTAGCTGTAAAATTAGCTGTAGGGATTATGATGCAACTTATGTAGGACAAACTAGCAGAAAATTAAAAATGCGAGTGAAAAAACATTGCAGTCATATGCATGGAATACTTTCACTAACTTTGTAATTACAAAACCGTAGGTTGCATCGCAATCATGAATTCAATTGGGACAATGTTAGAATTTTGGATGTCGATAATTTTTATTACAAAAGTTTGATTTCACAGATGTTTTCAATGAAATCTCAGAATAATGGTTTGAATTTACAAACAGACACAGAAGATCTAAATTATGCTTATGCCGATATTTTAAAGAAATTGATAAACAATAATTTGATCTAGATGCTTCTTTTCATTTCAGTCATGATAGATTATGTTTCACTTGATCATTGAACGTCATTTATAGATTAATTTTCAGCAACTAACAATTTGTAATAATTACTTTGTCATATGGTTTAAAAGCCGAGTCGGACAGTGTCATTGGTAATGTTTATTAAGTTTACATTATTATTTACTTTTATTTTGTTTTAGTCTCATACAATACTATTAGTACAACCTGGTGTCAGGCCTGAAACAAGAACATATTCTGATTACGAAAGCATTAATGAATGTTTGGAAGGTAATTTCAATTATAAATTATGGTAATATTATATTATAAATTTAAGTTATATAAATTTTAATAACAGCTATTAATACTCTTTTTAATTGTGCATGTTATATAAAATTGTAATTTTTTATGAAAATAAGATTGCATTAAGCAGCATAAAATCAATCGATTTTATACCTTATTATATCTATGAGAGAAATATAGAACATAAATAATAAAATAGAATTTATACAGGATGTCTGGTAATTCTGCTGACAACGCTCGTAAGCAGGTAGAGCAGACTAAACTGAGTCGGAAAGTCCTCTACTATTTTACAACAATAGTGAATGAGATATAAAATAATTTACAAATACGCTCTTATTCGGCAATCTTTAGAAATTAATGTCTCGTTAACTATTGTGAAAATTGTAAAATGGTACAGGACTTTTCGTCTCAGTTTAGTCCGTTCTATCTGCCCACAAGCATTGTCAACAGAATTCCAGTATATTAAACTAGATATCCTGTATATTAAAAATACATACACATGCGCACGAAAGCATAATGCTGATTCTACATTAATCGCATCACAATATTGCAAACGTTGCGGTCCAATCAACGTCAAGTTAGTTTGGATGTTACACGATTAATAATACTGTCAATAATATTGTCAGTAAATACTGACAATATTACTTTGTGTGTGGTTGACATTGATAGATTGACATAGAATACAGTGATCTGGATTTTGATTCTCGAGCATCATTACCGCTTTATTAAGATCCATGGCTGCGTTCAGCGAAAAAAGCAGATTTGCAACTGTAAAATTGGGCGCGGTTAAGCCGGATAAAATAGCTAGTCTGCTTGCTAAGATTGAATGTGATTGATTGGATCTATAAGTAACAACCAATTGGCTAGCCGCTTTGCCGACTTGAACGCGTCCATTCTTTAATATGATGGGTCTTGCCCTTAGTTCCTCACTGAATTTAAATGTATAAACCAATTATATTCAAGAATTTTACAACAGTTGCAAAACTGCTGAACTTAGTCCATATCACAATATGCACCATGCAACAGATAATGTATGTAAAACTAAAGTGAAACATATTGTTAATAATACTGATCATGTAAGGTTGTAAAAATACCAAAAATATTGATGTATACTGGCAGCTGATTACTTATTCAAGATTACTGATTAATGTTATTAACCATGTAGGGTCATCTTTATATACACACGCACACGTACCTACGTGCAAACACACACAAAAGAGAATGATGTGATTGATTTTCTATATATTATACAGGCCGGATCATAAATATATTTAAAAAATGTTATAAGTGTGATCCTTAAAAAGAAAGTACAGATGTTCCTATGAGGAAATGTATCAATTATGTGTACGTCGTGCTAATGCATATGTGAAAAATGATGTTGAACACTGAACATAAAAAAAGCTCACTTGACTCTTATAAATAAAATCACTATTTAATATTACTGTATTTGTGTGTCCGTTATTTTAACAACGAAGCATTTATGACCTAATATTTAGAGGAGCATTTGTTCTTTTTTATCCAATAATATGAAATTTTAAAACATACTTATGATTCACCCTGTAATTTGTTAATCATTACGTAAAATATATTCTATACATACACGCGTGCACGCATTTGTATTTTTATATTTTAATACTAATTACGAGTATTAATTATTTATTTATTATTGTAGGAGTTTGTAAAATTTATGAAGAACATCTAAAGAGACGAAATCCAAACACTCCAACTATTACTTACGACATTAGTCAGTTATTTGATTTCGTTGATCAATTAACGGATTTATCCTGTCTTGTGTATCAAAAATCGACAAATACTTATGCTCCTTATAATAAGGATTGGATTAAAGAAAAGATATATGTTTTATTGCGTAGAGTTGCGGGACATGGAGAGTAATCAATACATATATATATGCGTGTTTTCATTTGTAAGATAATTTTAAATACTTCTATATTTTATTTGTTGTAATAAAGCTATAATTTACGATATCTTATATTATGAAACAGTAATTATATTGTATATCTTTATCTTTTATTTATTTTGTCCACTTTATAATTAATTTTTATAAGATAAAGTGGGGCTCTTCCGTCAATTTCAACATAAAGTGATATGAAAATTTGCAGTAAAATGTCTCACCCAATTAAATTTCAAATATAATCGATTTATTATTGAATATAATGTAACCTCTTGTAAGCATAAAAATTAACATATAACAGAGAACAATATTACATAAATATTTAAACTGATAAAAGTGTACATGTATCAAAACCGGTAGAATTCTTTCGCCCATTAAGGAGGATCTTAAAAAAAACTCATAATGTAAGAAAATAATTTACGTTTATCAGAGGTAATTTTTACACTACTGTCCTAAAACTTTAATAAACACTCAATATAATTTGCTTACAACTGTACATTACTCTCAAACACGATTGCTTCTTAAAAGTAAACACCTTAAAAGTAAACGACCTTTAAATATATGTTAATTAAAAACAAACGTTGACTGGAATAGCTCCATGGACAAAGAAAATCTCACCCTACCCTATATACAATATTTTTATATTTTATACATTAAGGGCAGATCCTGGTTTAGAAACGAGGCAAATTCGAGGATTTTTTAAAAATAAAAGTACAGGAACTTTCTATCGCGACTGGCGAAACGCATCGCTCAGCTATGTAATAGGTGGATGATCGCGTGAGTGGGGAAAATCAGAAGGCGAGAGAGATTGGAGATATCAATCATACAAAATTACATGTAACAAATAACAATAATGTATTTGAGAATTACGCGATACAATACGTCGATCATAACATACGAGTCGTGTAATACCAAACACGGCAACAGTGGCGCATACAATGTAATGGCGAACACTCTACGCGCGAAAGAATATCAGAGTCGATGGAATATGAGCTCGCAAGAAAGTGAATAATTAAGTCTCACACAAACATATAGCTTTCGCACAGTCAGATAGATTCACAGACTCACGCTCTTAAAGATTATTTCTCGACTAAGCTTCTAAGCGTGAACAAAAAGTTATCACGCGGTAAATGATCGTCTTGTCCTCAATGCATAACAAACATAATAAGATAAACTCATCGCATGGACTACCGTTACGTAGTTAAAAGAAATGAATGACTTACTTATTGCTTCATTATTTATATCTATATGTATATATATTAATAATGAAAAATTATTTTTATAAACTCTTAATGTTTGGCAAGTGGTAAGAATCGCTTCAAAACATAAGCATATTCACTAAGTTTTGATTTTGTGGATAGATTTTTATTAAATATGTTTCTTTAATGTTTTCTTTTCATGTAATTTAACTATATAATTAGTTTTTTTTAAATTTAAAGTTTAAATTAAAAAAAATTTATTTATACAATTTTTTAAAAAGTTTTTTTATTAACAATATTAAATATATTTTTAACTATAATAAAAAAAAATATAACATTTATATTAAATTATCTTTTTTTTCAATGTCTTCCGTATTTTTTTATCATACTTCATATTTTTAAAGATATAGTTGTATCCAGCTAATACTGGCGGATTTGACTGTGCGCATTCATTCTGGAACACTGATACTTTCAAACAAATGGCTATTGCAGCGTAAAACCTCATGAAATTTTTTAGTTATTCATTATTATATTTATTTTATTTAAAAAAATATGCACATAATTAATGTTACATATCTTTTGAAAGTAATAATATAAATTCCTTTTAAAGTCTCACAATGAAGAGCCATTTAGAACATCATTTAATCTTCTTACAATATTTTACATTATAGGTGTGTCCAACTGTTTCGGACCAATGTGTGCGTGTATGTGTGTGTTTGTGTGTGTCACATGAGTACCCGTGTGATAAGAGTACCGCGAAATCAGTCTTCACCCGTGTGCAATGAATAACGAACAAACAAGTGAGTGATTGTCATTTTGCGTTACTCGATTATATTATTTTTGCGCAGGATAAAATTTTTATCTAAAACATTTTTTTACATTTCACGGATTTTACTCAGGAATATGCCAAATTAATTTCAGCATTACACGCGGAATAGAATTTGTCAAAAATACATATTTTTTTATTTTCTTTACATTTGAATTACATATATATATAAACGGATGAGAATATTTTCAAATGTTCTCTCTTGTTTCATATTCATAAAAATATACAAATTCACATGTTAAGGTTTAAATCTATTACCATCTGTAATGGACATAATGGCATGCTCCTGAGTGATTGCTGCGAGCTCTTTAAGCCATTCATCTAATATTACAGAACATAGTACAACATTCTGCACTGGGCTCACTTCATTCGGTGATTCCCACGAAGTTTTCGTATACCTATTGAAGAGAAGAATATATAACTATTGCATTCCATTTACTCATTACTTATTCACTCATACTTGTGGGATTAAAATCATCTCCAATGTAATTAGATCTTAGTAATAGATTAATTTTTCAAATACTATGTGAAAAATGCGCTTGTTTCCAATTTCTGTTGATAAATAGCTTTGATGTCGACGTTGACGCGAATTATTTTCAAGCAAGGAATTTAATTTTTTATTTCTATCATCATTAAAAATCCAACTTCACATATGTACAAAGTCATGAAAAAAACAGATGTGCGCACACAAATTTGTATAGCTACGCGAAGTAACGAAGTATAATTTGATATTCTGAACATCGTAATCAAAAATTGACTCGATACTTTTGAGTCAGGGAAATAACCTTGACCTAGATTTTTCTTTTGTTATTATGATTTATTATAAAATAATCAGAAATCTGAAACAATTTACCTATATCCAGATCCAACAATTTGTAGCTGATCTTCTGATATACTGGACGGCTGATTGATGGAATTTGTTAGACTTGGACCTAAACCACCACTTGATCGTCTGAACATTTGTGTGAGTGATGATGTCAAACTTTTCCTTTTTGGTTCCCCTATAAATACAAATGATATAATAATTTGGAATTTACATATATAATACACAAGCAAAAATATTTTATATCAATACATACATCTTTTGAATACTTCCAGTGTGCACAAAATTTTAAAAGATATGATTAATGTAGTTATGAAGTTATAAAAGGACAAAAGACGCGAAAACGAAAAAAGAATATGAATGAGAGAAGAATAGAAAAAATAAGAGAAAGGTAAAAGAGAAGAGAGTCAATGAGTGCATTCAGTACTACAATCACTCACTGAGCGGCTCACTAGCAATCGAATATGAGTCTTACCTCTAGATCTAACTAATCACATTAAATTGTTATGTAGGTACTTAGTAAGCGGTTGCAATACTGAATCCAATGTTTATATTCTTTATGAATGATGGAGAGAAAGATATATCTAATTCTTAAAATATATTCACGAAATAAATAGTACCTCTTGAGAATGATTCACCAGTTAAAGACTGTCTTTTAATAGATGATGATTGCGCTGCAGCTTCTATTACATTTTTCCTCGCATTTACTAATTTGTTTTCTCGATTAATCAAAAATATTTTTGCTTGTTCAACTAATAAATCCACGTTGTTATGTTTCGAAAGAAATTGGTCTATTTTATGTTTCAATGACGCAAGCACCTGCAATATAAATTATAAAAATATTATTTCTCTTGATTTTCATAATAGTTCACAATATCTAGATAACAAAAATAGTAATATTCTTTAGAAGAAAAACTCGATTAAATCAAATTCGATTAAAATCAATGTAAGTCTGCAAACACACACACACACACACATGGATAATAATGCAATATCATATATATGTATATTATTTCAGCATAAAAATCGCTAGGTTTACAACTTTATTAAAAAAATTTCAGAGCTGTTTTTACACTGGCATCTACATTTTGTTATTAAAATTAGTACTTTGTATGTGTTCTAAATTTTTTAAATTATATATTTAACTGGCACACCCTGTATTGGTAATTTAATGTTCCTATAAAATCTAACAAATTGTTTATTTTATGAATTCAGTTTATAAGAAATGAATATGAAAAATAATAATTTCATTATTTTGCAATACATTATTCAGAATTTCAATGACAAACGCAACAACAAAACGATAAATACCTGAAACAAAGACTTGATGCTGGGTTGAAATACAAGAGAATGGTTTAACAGAAACGATTGCAGTAAAGGTTGAGAGTATATCGCCAATCTACTAATGAGGCCCGTGAGATGTAAATTGACATACAAATTATTGCTTGTCATACATTCGAGTTTTCGTAAAACCACATCTAAAAATATACCAACATTTGGCTGTCCGTTAAACACGTCCTGTCGATACAAAGGGTCTTTATTTAATTTACTCGACGATGTTTCCACAATTATCGGAGGATTTGATTCCGCGTCATTACGCATAGGGACATAGTCAATCTCTTTCTTAATTATAATGTGCGTTTCTTCATGTTCACTCATCCGATCTTCATTGGTTTCCTTATCCGGTGTTGACTCTGGCGATCCTTTAAACGCAAAGCTTTCGTAACCGCTACTCTCACCTAGTGATATAAGTGAATTCATGGCCGTGGTCGAATCTTCTATGCAGCTATCGGATTCTTTTTTATTTAAACAGATTTTCTCTGTACATTCTGTCATTTCAATGTTTTCGTTCAACAACTCTGCAATATCGGCATCTAATTGTGCTTGCTCGTCAAGAGACAATGCAATATCCATGTTCAATTCGTTTTTAAAATTACGTTCATTACTATTTAAATCTTTTCCTTCCAATAAAGATTGAATATTAAGTAACACATTGTCTAATGATGCATCATTATCATTTTCGCATGATTTCATCGCATTTTTAATCATTTCCAACGTTCTAGATCCTTCTGCCTTTTTCTGTGATTGATCAGATACAATATTTTCGTCTATTAAAGTAGTCATGCTAATATTACTATGTTG